TAGTCCTATGTGTATCACAACTAAAAGTAATTGACGTACACATTTAACAAGATCGAGAGGATGGTTTTAACGAAATTATTATGCTTTTCTTGCCCGTTTCATTAACAAAGACGCTTGATGTTTTGACCTTTAAAGCCATTGTGCGGAAATTTATAGCCGACAAGCCTTAATACTGAGCGCATCTCTTTCTTCTGACTTTATAGGTCAGATTCTCTTATCTTTAATGTGCTATTGTGGACACGGTGATATTCAAACAAGTATATATGTATATACTGTCTCTCATGCTTTATACACTGTTAGTGTACACAAAGGAACAGTCATATTGTAGTTACAATGTAAACTACAATTTAGAGTGAATGACATTTACATAGTATAAATTTATATAATCTTGGAGCTTCCTAACACTTTGACTGTTACCTAAAGGAGAAACAACATTTCATTCACTTCACTAAATCATTCAAAACTTTTAATCTCTCTCTCTTTTTATGATGTTGAATTCCAACTAAACCTTTGAAAAAATAAGAATAAACATCTGTTTGTCGAATTCCTTTTGATCATAATTTTTGGCGCTACGAATGATATTTTGAACTCTTTTAATTAAGGCAGATGTGAAAACAAAATCAAATAATTTCAAGTTTTTTTACCTAAAAAAGGTTTAATCAAACCCAAAGTTCGGAAATATAGACAAAAATCGGTATATAAACGTAAGGAATGTTTATATTGAAAGTGAAATTAGGATTTTAAATTCAACTTCACACAAAAAAAAATCGTATTGAACAGAAGGTTCATAATAAGGAATATAAAAAATATGTTTTTTTTTGTCGTTAATCGCAAAGCTGCACGATGGGTTATCTGTACTCTACCCGCCACGGGTATCGAAACCCGATTTTTAGCGTTGTAAACTGTGAGGCTTACTGCTGAGTTACTGGAGGGGGGATGTATAAAAATATGCAAAAAATATCTTGACAAGCTTTACTGGGCGATTTTTCCACAATAAATTTCACGAGGAAAACTTCCTAATACAATTATTTTTTCAACTTTCAAATTCTGAGTTACGAAGTACAAAATAAATATGGATGAAACTGAACTAAATGTGTTTATTTTAGAGACAAATCAGTTAAGAAGGTACAGAGGGTTAATATCACAGTTTATAAAAAACGCATGTAGGTTAATGTGATCGTGTGATAACTCAAATGCGAGTTCTGCCATCATAGGTGACATATTTCAGCACCTATATACTTGATTAACAGTGAACTTTCGAGCATTCAACAGTATGGGGTCCACAAGGATAAACTTACGGCTGGAGAAATTTATATCACAGCCATTTCTGCGGAAAGATATTTTCATAGCGAGATTATTAAACGATGACGAGATAAAGGTTTGTTTGTAGTTAAGCCCAAAGCGGTATTGAAACCCGGATTCTAGCGTTGTAAGTCCGCAGACACACCGCTGTGCCACTGGGAGGGGGGGGGGGACAGAGATAAAGGACATGACACTTCGAATAAGGGAGTCTTCAGTGTTCTCAGTGAAAGCACAAAATATCGCTCAGGCCCTGAAGCTATACCCCAATCCAATTTGAAATAACGCCCTCATCAGAAGAGTGAAGGCTGTGTTTACAAAAGAGAACCCTTTCACCAAAAAAGCTATTGTAAAGACGATGGCCGTACCAAACTGTATCATTAAGAAGACAATAAACAAATATTTGAAGTTAAAGATGAACCACTAGCAAAAAGTTCACAAATTTTTAGCCACACTTCAAAATCAACAGATGTTTTCGCTAAGAAGACGTCCGAAGAAGATGGAGTCCTATAAAACCCTATTCTATGATATACTCGTCAAGTTTCCCGACGCGATCCAACGAAATTTTCTACGTTTGGTCTTATTACAAATTATTTTGAAAGTTTTTGGAAAATTATGGAAAATTTTGGAAGTTTTTGGAATGTTTTTAATGTTAGATAGTCATGGCAATGAGACTGAGCACAATTAAATATCGATGAAAGAGTTCTGAGGATAACACCTGACCCGGAATATCGTTTTTCAAAAGTGTGATTAATCTTCAGGATTTTTTTTGGGGGGGGGGGAATAAATGGCAGAGAATAAACAGAACCTCAGGGTACGCAATAAATCATGCTGTATTTATTTATTTTTTTTCGTGATAATTCAGAGTTTTACTTGTGACAGGCTTATCGTGGTTTTCCTAGTGTTTAAGAATCTAACTATTTCGAATTTGAAAATGAAAAATCCACTGAAATCTGAATGGAACAATACGACCATTCAATCACAATCGCATTTGCTCTTAAACGATAGCAACATGCAGTTAAGTACTTTTCCCCTTTAAATTAGTTTGTTTTGGAATTTCCGCAAAGCTACACGAGGGCTATCTGCGCTAGCCGTCCCTAATTTAGCAGTGTAAGACTAGAGGGAAGGCAGCTAGTCATCACCACTCACCGCCAACCCTTGGGCTACTCTTTTACCAACGAATAGCGGGATTGACCGTCACATTATAACGCCCCCACGGCTGAAAGGGCGAGTATGTTTGGTGTGACGGGGATTCGAACCCGCGACCCTCAGATTGCGAGTCGAGCGCCCTAACCACCTGTTTTAAATTAGAATTACAATTTTTATTAATACTTTTAGAGTAACAAAAGTTTGTTTGTTAGAAGTTAAGCACAAAAATACACAATGGGCTATCTGCGTTTTACCAACCAGGGATATCGAAATCTGGTTTCTAGTGTTTTACGTCCTCAGACATTCCGCTGTGCTACTGGGGGTGGGGGGGGGGCAGTAACAAAAGGAAATTGAATAAGTTAGTAAATTCCACCTAACGCCAACACGTGGCCTACTCTGATTGGGAAGTGAGATTTGACTGTCACCCATGGATCCATAATACGGGGTGCGAACAACGAAATCTTGGATCCACAACCCGAAACACTAACCACTGAGTCTCCCTATATGAAAAATATGCAATCAAATTGAAAATATAGGTAAGCTCAAGCTGGATGCAAAAAAACAAAAAACTAAAAGGTCTATTTATGATTTAAATGAATTTCGTCTTTGTTTTAAATATATTTTATAATGTTATATATATATATATATATTACGAGTCCACTGCACCCCCCGAGTCCAAGCTAAAATACCCTCCAGAGTCACAGCGGTATGTCTGCGGACTTACAACGCTAGAAACCGGGTTTCGATACCCGTGATGGGCAGATCACAGATAGCACATTGTGTAGCTTTGTGCTTAACTTCAAAACAATGACCAAGCTAAAAATTATCATTAGCATTACCTGCCATCTAGTGGTTAGGAAAGTTATTTCAATAATAAAAGTGAAATATTAAAGTTAATATATTTGTACTTTAAGAAACTGATTACAAGATGTTTCAGTGTCTAAGCAACTCTGTTAACGCTACTTTGTAATATCAATAACACAGGCCTGCGATGGTTTTATTGTCTTGAAACTTTTACATGTTCTACAGTAATTCATGTACACTGAATTTGAAAATGATATCCATTTTTCTCCATCACTTACAATTTTTCACAAAAAGTCATAACGCAATACATAAAATAAAGACCACAACACGTAGTCTTAAGACTAAAAGACGTAAATTTCACACACAAAAATCAGGATGAATGAGGATGCGTATTCTTCTGACATCAATGTTCTTCCATTTAATTCAGTTTGTTTGTATTTTTGTTAACAAACATAATAATAAAAAAAATGTTCATTGTGGTATACAAAATAATAATTTGATCTAAGTAATAGTTTGTTTTCTTCCCGATTTGTAAAAAAATCATTACCTGATAGAAAAAAATTATTATTATTATTTTCGAAATCTGCAAAAAGAAAAAAGAGAAAAACTGTAATAATATTAAAAGCAATAAAAATTTACACAACAATTTAAATAAACGTTGATTTGTAGGTTTGTGAGTGAGTTTCAGATAAAAGAAAACCATGAAACGCACTGAATTAGGCTTTGGAAAATTTTAACAAAGTGTTTCGGTAAAATTCATGATGATTTATCAGATCTTGTGAATATGTTTAAGACAATTTAACTGGTTTAGAAAAAATAAAACAAAACAGCCTGAGCAAAAAGAACAAAAAAAAAATAAAATAAAAGCTTCTACACAGTTAAAATTTAGTAGCTAGCCCTAATTTAATTTCTCAGGTGTTTTTTAGATGTTTAAATGCAGAATATTATTCACTGTATTAAACTTACACAACCATTATTAGACATAAAATTTGAAATGTGTGTTTGTTTGTTGTTAAGTGAAAAGCTACACAGTGGGCTATCTGTGCTCTGCCCGTCAAGGGTATCGAAGTCTGATTTTTAGCGTCGTAAGCCTCCAGACTTGCTGCTGAGCCATTCGGAGGGGGAGCTCATTCTGAAATGGAAATGAGTGTTTCAAGGGGGCCAAGGGAGAAATACCCTTTGAAAAATCTAGGCATATTGATCACGTATTAATTTCAGCTTATATATATATATAATAAACTCGTTTTGTATCATTTAATTAAAAAAATACAACTTCTATAAACATTTGATTTGTTTATTAAAATTTAGATCCATTTTAGCTTTTTTTAGTTTATTAGCTCCCTTAAAGTTTTACAGTTTTACTTTTACAGTTGTACTGCCCACTGAGTTACATAGCTCAGTGGCACTGCTCCATAAATAAAAATAAAAATATATAAAATTAAGCGCTGGACAAAATCCATGCGCATTTAATTTCGTACTGTAATTTTACCATAATATAGGACAATTACCATAGAAACAGTATCAAAATGATCAGTCTCATGGAACTTTTTAGACGTCATAAGCCTTCTATATTTACTTGTTTATAGTTTTAATTTTTTTGACAGCTCGTTTAGGACAACAAGTGAACTAATATGCAAAAATTGTTTTATTAATTTGATATTAAGAACTTAGAGAACAATAAGTAGGACATAGTAGTTTGTTAGGCCTAAGTTGGGAAATAGGCCTAATTAGTACTATTTAAAATATTCATGGCAAAGATAAAGAAAACAAATATACGTTCTCTGCCAGACAGTTCACAAAATTTTGACAGTTTGTTACCTCAAAATGAAAAAGAAAAGTTATTGGAACAACAACTGACTACGGCTCAGCAAACACTTGCTTCACTGAAAGCAAAAGTGAAAGACCTAAGAGAGGAAAACGATTTCCTGAATAAAGAAGCAGAACGTATCAAGTAAGTCTTGAAACAAAAGTATGTTTAATCTTAGGCCTAGAAGCCCTACAAACATTGCCTGTTAGCCTTAGGCTAAACCATTGTTATCGCAAGGTTTAATTTTGTCTCTAAATGGTGTTATGGTCCAACGTTTTTCTTTATTTATTTTTTCTCCAAAATCCCGATCTCGAAGCATTATTTGATAAGAATTAATGGACATTTACTTTCAGGCACTGACTGTACATTGTGATTAATTGCGATGATAGGCGAACGCACAATCCTGCTTTATTAGAACATTTTAAACAATCACAATAAATTTTCCTAATGTCCTCACTAATGACCTAGGAAAACATTTTTGCAATCGTCGTGAGTTTAAAACAGTTTTCTGTGTAAAATTCTTTCCAAAAATGAACAGATAGGTGTCATAAGTAAACATCAGAAAACGAACCAAGATAAAACAGTCAATGCCGTTACGAGGTAAAACTGTCAAAGTTACGTCATAATCGGATTGACGAATCAGAGCTAGGTGAAACTATCGTTAGTTGCTTGTAATTTGTATTTTTATATTTTGACTGAACATTCGTAAGTCTTTCTATGATTGGAAACGTACTTCTAAATGAAAAGTATGTTTAGCAGACTTGGAGTGTAAATATAAAAGCCAACATTCACAAGCGAATGCAATATATCTCCTCCATGCATTTTATTCAATAAGATACTCAGAATACAGTAGATTTCAAGAGAAAATGGCATCCAAATCAGCGGAGGGGTAGACATTTAATGCAATATCAGATTCAGACTTTTTTGAGGGAAAGATGCACTGAAGCATATTAAATTATGACATTATTATACATATAAGACAGTCAGTTCCTATATAAATAGATTTGTTCACCATGAAAAAATCTTCAGTCTATGTGCGTGGGATTGTCGAAAATTACATTAGTATAAAGTCTCCCCTAGAGTGGTCAATAAATATAGGAAAGGCATATCAAAAGATATTTATTTTGAATTTTGACCCTTGTAAAATGGCAAGAAAGGCACAAATCCCAACTCTGTCTGTTTCAATATGAGAACTGTGTCGAAGTATCATTGTACAAAGTCTCATTTACATTAGTCAAATATAAAGGATTAGCAGGCCGAAAGTCCTAATTTTGCGAAAATGTTTGATCTTTGACTCTAGTAAAGGCTTATAACTCATATTTGACCGCTTCAGTTTGTAAGAGTGGTCGCAAGATATCTCTGTTCAAAATCTTATCTGGATTGGTTGAAATATAAAGAAATGACAAGCCAAAACCCTTGATTTTTCGACTTTCTTTTAATATTTGATCCCTATTAGACCAGTAGAAAGACACAAATCCAAAATAAGTCTGCTTTAATCTATGGGGGTTGGCACTAGGTATATATTTGTGCCAATTGTTATTTGGATTAAAGGAAATATAAGGGAACTGCTGGCTAAAATATGCGTATCTGTAATGCTAAAATTTTGATCCAGTAAAATCAAATGAAAGGACTAAATAAGACAAAAAAAAAATTGTGAGCGTATTGGACCAAGATATATGCTCACAAAGTTTCAAAACGGTACAGAAGTAAAGGGATTTTACATTATTGTACTCGTTGAAAAGGAAAAGAAAGAAACATGGGAAATAGAGTATTTCTTCCTCCCTATGGACGAGACATAATAAACAAAATCTGTATGATGTATAACTATTATAATATAAACCTATGTTCATCATTATGTTTATTTCAAATAATGTATTAAGTTGCATTTAATTTTTATGTTTGGTCCCCACGTAGTGTTACCAAGCTGACGCGAAGAAATCTCTCCTATTGGTGGGTTTTAAAACTCCCAGATCCAAAGATTTTTTAGGCATACTTTAATGAACGATAAGCTTACATTTTAATGAGTGCAATTTTAGAGAGCATTACCATCACTAAAGGAAATTCTATTAAGTACTTAAGAATAATACTTAATAATTAATTCATACTAAGTTACCTCTTAGCAATAAGTTAGACAAATTAATGTTTTAACCGTTTTTGATTTAAAAAAGTTAAATCACTGATTCTGAAATTAGGAAGTTTCACCTGCATTGCGGGTGCTGTATAGGTTACACGGAGACGATTATACTTATCTACTCTTTCACAACACCGATCACACCGAGCAGTTTTTAGAACACCTAAACTCAGAAATCCATGTAGAAACTTTACATGTGAGATGGAAGAAAACAATAACTTTCCTAGAAGTTCAAGTAAACAAAATTAACTCGAAAAGTTTTTAAAAACATTTGAACATTTTGTTTAAGTTAAAAGATGCATCTTTTCAAATTTATATAAAAAAAGAAAGGCTGAAACGTTCGTTAATACAAAATAACCTATGCAACCATATTTAAAAATTATATATTTTTATATTCTGATTCTTTGATTAGTTGTTGAGTGGCATGTCGCAAGCCAATTACTTTAAAATACTCATTGTAATGACCAACTTGGTCGTAGTGACAATCTGCAAGTCATCTTGATATTTGATGAGAATGACGTGTTAGCGTTTTCGTATGCATTGAACGAGAATGCAGCTGGTTTCTCCTATGTAAATTTCGTTGCAGTTGTCACAAATAATACAATAAGTTAAGCATTGAGATGTACAGCTGGTATAGCTATTACAGAATAGGCTGACTTGGGGCCCTTAATAGATGATCAATGTGAGGACAAATGTTGCATTTGCTCCTCTTAAAAGCGTTCGTACCAATTTGAGAATCACATGATAGCTCTATGTTGTTCGTAAGTTGATTATGGACAAGTGCGTTGATGTTGATGTCTCGTTTGTAAGATACGATAGGTTTGTTAGCAATATACGAGCTGTCTGTGTGATAAATGGTGACGTGTAAGTATATGGAGAATGCATTTATGATCAGTGGCAGTAGAAGGTATTGGCAGAAATGAAGTTGTATACGTGTCTTTGGAATTTGTAAATTGTCCAACGTGTTGGCGTTAGAATTATTGACATGATTGAAGCTAGACAGTCTCTGAAAAAAAACAACTAAATTTGAACGTTTGTTGTGTGTATGTTAATTATCTTCAGTATAATTATGAAGACGCGAATGGAACATCTCGAAAGGTTTGCTATTATAATCTTGGTCAGTACTGCAGAGCTTATGTAATCTGGTGACTTGTGATGGGAATGTTTCTCAAGACACACCGAGGATGGTTTGTAATGTACAAAGTTTGCGAAATGATAATGAATGAGATGACTTGGCAGGAAATAGAAGAGGTGTAAGGAGCGATGGGTGAAAGGATTTAATGTACAGAAGAAGGTCGACTTCATTATTGGTGTATGCAGCTACGCGAAAAATACCATCAGTATACCTACAATATAAGGTTGGGTGAGCACTCCTGTAGGTACGAAATATGCAACGTAACCAAAAAGGTTAGCATCGTAGAAACCCATTTTGGTTGTCATGGCCACACCCTTCATTTATTTATAAAATTCTGTTGTCAAAGGACAAGGGATTTAACGCTAGAAGTATTTTGACTAATCTGATCATGGTTTTAGTAGGTAGATGTAGGAGCGATGTAGGGGGCTCCTTTTTTAGTGTTGTTTTTAGTCCATCTTCGTATTCTAGATCTTTTCAATTGGGTTTGGTAAGGGCTGGTCGTTAGGATGCTCGACTCGCAATCTATGGGTTGCAGGTTCAAACTGCACTATCATAGCCGAGCATGTTCGCCCTACGTATTTTTTTCCCAGAAAGACCTGCAGTGGTTTGTCAATAACCAACAGACTTATTTCTGACTTGAAAAAGAGTATTTACACGAAACGTCGCCAAGAAAATAAAATATAAAACAAAATATTTTTAGGTGTTTATCTGAGACTTTCATGCGCAAGCAGCTATCGCCATCTGTAGCTAAGATTCAACATTAAAGATTTACAATTTTATGAAACGCCACAACGAATAATGGCTTTACAAGTTTTTCGAAACTGGTTCGCGTATTAAAGGTATATGAAAATCTGTCAATTGTATGTGAAATTTCAAAGTCACCTTGAGAGAATTTTAAGTCCACAAAGAAAAGAACTCCACCAAAATTTCAAAGCTGATAATAAAAATTCTAAATGTGTTTTCCACAATCTATATTACGCCATATCGTGGCTATTTTCGTTCCAGTTTAATTACTAGTCATATGTATTTTAGCAATTAATATCTTTAACGTGCGTTGTGAGATGGTTTAACTTTTTTATCTGTCACGTTTACAGAAGAAAAGTCAAGTTTATTTTTTACATGCACAGTAAAAAAAAATGTTTTAATACTTTGTTATTTATCTGAGGAATTTGAAGGAGAATATCCTTTGTCCCATCACACCAAACATGCTCGCCCTTTCAGCCATGGGGGCGTTATAACGTGACGGTCAATCCCTCTATTCGTTGGTGAAAGAGTAGCCCAAGGGTTGGCGGTGGGTGGTGATGACTAGCTGCTTTCATCTCTAGTCTTAGACTGCTAAATTAGGGACGGCTAGTGCAGATATCCCTCGTGTAGCTTTGCGCGAAATTCATAACAAACAAACAAACAATATCCTTTGTCCCTGGTGATAAAACGAAATCCCAAACTTTCATGGTAGTGCTCTTGTTGGGGACATACACGTGTTCATGACAATGAAAGCTTCTTTGTTTTAGAATATTCGCGCAAAGCTACCCACGCTAGTTAAACATGTAGAGTCATTTAATTTTGTTCGGTGGCTTTAATAAAAATTGTAAAGTGCATTATAAACGTTAATCGTATTTTTAATCTTAAAATTTATTGCGCAAGTGTTTTTGTGGTTTGAAAAAAAAAATTTAAGGATTTAATATTTATGCCGAAAATATAACTTACAACGCAAATTCAACAGACTGGGGGATATTTTAGTACTTTAATTCCCATTACTGATTAAATTATCCGTTATTAGCGCTCAAACTTAATAGGTTTAACAATTCTCATCCGATCTGCCATGATATTTTGAAATCTATATAAACTTCAGTCGGTTATTAATGACTTAATTAAATATCAATCACATTAATGCAGCCAGTACAAAAAAAAATTAGAGAGATATTTGCATCATTAGCTGTAGAAATATATTATTAATTATTTATTTTATGTTTCAGAGTGTTCTACACATGTTTAAGTGTTTAGTGTTTTTTGTAAAAAGTAAATACCTTGGCCATCTAAAATAGATTATGCTTATGGATAGGAATAAATAAATATGTTTAACCTGAGCAGCTATAGCATCACTTTTGTTTTGACGTTCTCTGCGATCTCTTGTAAGGTAGGGGTTAAAGGACGTTTTTCGTACCCAGCACACTGATCAGCGAAAGACAGAAAAAAAAAAATATCTACAATTGTTGCATATAAATTGGGGACATTTGTAATGATCATTGATACGTTTTTTTGTTGTTTGTTTTTCTCTCAGAAACGACACCGAAGAATACAATAAATATATCGAAGAAGCTACAGAAAAGCAGCAAATGAAAGCTGTTGAGTTATTTGACGAATATTATTCGAAAATAAAGGTAGGATTACATTTCGAGATGTCAATATGAAGTTAACGTGTTTTTATACCAACCACGTCGTTTGATTGTTTTAAAGGTGATAAGTAGAGAAGATAATGTACGTTTTCTCAAATATACAACTTGATCTGTAAGTATAACAGTATTTTCTGATTCTAGCATAACTGTTTTTCTTAAACATTAATAAGCATGTTTGATTCTCACTCAGTGTGATATCACATTACGGTCCATGTTTCTTCTTTTGCTCACTTTGATTTTTGTTTGTTTTTAAGTACAAAGCTATACCGTGGGTATCGATCCTCGAATTTAGCGCTATAAGCCATCGAACCTACCGTTGAGCCATGGGAAAACTTCACTTAGATGAAATATTTTTTTATGAGAGAGAGCGAGTGTGGCCTAATGATTAACGTACCGGATTATAAGTCCAAGGGTCTGTGGTTCGAGTCTAATTGCCACAGAATTGTGCTCTGCATTTTTTAGGTCGTGAGTGTGTTATAAGATTGTCAGTCAAATCCCAAGAGTTCACCATGAGTGTTGTTGACTAGCTTTAGTATACCGGTTTTCTCCCTGATTTTACAGTTGTTTAGTTTTGCGCAAGTATTGGAAACAAATAGAAAATTTTATGACTACAAGGAGAGTTTAATTATTCCTGCATCATTTATCACAGAGATACTGAAAACTTTTCAAAGCCGTTCAGCTCAAAATTTGGGCATGTTCGTCTAGTTCTAGTTCTAAACTCCCATTTCGAATTAGACCTGCTTTCTAAATAAACTCAGAAAGAAGAAGAAATAAGGGAGAATGTGTGTATAACTTTCTCTAACATTTCTAACAGTTAAAAATATAATTAACATAGTTAGCCGTTCTCTAATTTTAAAGTGATATACCTTGCAACGTTTGTTTGTTGGTTTTTAAGTTATGCACAAAGCTACACAATGGGCTATCTGTGCTCTGCTCACCACGGGTTTCGAAACCCGGTTTCTAGAGTTGTAAGTCTGCAGACATACCGCTGTGCCACTGGAGGGGGGCAACTTGCAACCTACATTCCACAGACTGGGGGTTATTTTAGTACGTTACTTTCCATTATTGGTTAAGTTATTCGTTATTAGCGCTCAAACTTAACAGGTTTAACAGTTCTCATCCAATCTGCCATAATGTTTTAAATATATATTAATTTCAGTCGGTTATTAATGACTTAATTAACTGTCATTCATTGTACATACGAGTTTAAAAGTGTTTTTATACTCAATTTTGTTTGTACAAACATTTGTGGTGTATCTGTTTGTTACGCAAACACAATCTTCGTTCAGTAACATGGTATAGAAATGTAGGAAGTTTAATTAAATTTCATGATTTCAAGACATGAAGGTAAAATTGGCAACATCACTCGCCGCCGACCCTTGAGCCACTCTTTACCAATGAATAGTTGAACTGATCGTCACATTATAACGCCCCCACTGCCTAAAGGGCGAGCATATTCGGTGACGGAGATTCGAATCCACGACCCTTGGATATCAAGTCTAGAGCTTTAACCATTAAATCATGCCAGGATCTCATCAGTGTTATATGTATGTATATATATTTATACATTGTATAATTATAATACTAATAATAAAATTGAAACATCAACTCGAGCGTAAAAATATAGTATCATAAAAATGATGACCATAGGCTAAGCAGAAGTACTTTATTTAAAAATGGTCTAGTTTCAAGGATACTGAAAGTGGGGTGCAGAAGTACACTGCCGCACCTGCAGTAAATGGGGACATAATATGTAACCTTCGGATTCCTTCCCACGTTTAACAGTTTCGCTCCTCCCAGGGGAATTCATTACCTAGAGATCATAACGACCAGTCTTTACGGCTCTAATTTATTACAAAACAAACAAGTACAAATTTTAAAAATTAATAAAAACAAACGAAACACAAAAAAATTTAAATTCAAATTTAAATTACTTAATACTTAAATAATGAGAGTGAATTAAAGTCGCTTTTCTCAGGTTTCGTAGAGAACAGTTATAACCGCTGTTTGATGTATACTTTTAAGTTAACGGTAGATATACCGGATTTTTTTTATGTTTAATAATATCTTAGAGAAAGAGGGCCAAAGGCCACGTGGGGGGGGGTCACTTCTTTTAACCATTCGCGTCATTATGCAGTAGTGTGTTGTCTGTCAGTCAGTCACTAGACACTAAAATGACGCCACATAACGGACGCGTAACGTTGCCAATTGTACTGTCGTGACGTCAGTAAAACGTGCGAATGTCATCATGAATCACCAGAAGAATTATGCACTCTGTAGGCTACAACACAGCACGGTATATGAACTTCAAAATAAAGAAATGAAAACATTTGTTACTCTAAATTTTGGTTGTATTTACTCTCGAAAGAGAACAGTTTCGGGGACTCTGCTGAAGTACATTCAGTGTATCTTTTACCTTTACTACAGGAAGCTAAGGCAAAGAAAGAAGAAATTATCCAATCTCACGAAGAGCAAAAGTCTGAGTTAAAGAGAACTCTAATAGAAAAAGAAAGCATTCTAGCCCAGATGAAGCTTCTGTTGGCCGACCTAGAGCCCTACCAACAATTAGAAGAAAGTCAAACAGCACGCATAAAGCAGCTTGAAAATGAGATTGAAGAAATGAAGCAACGGAGTTTTACTGTAATGGAAAAACTGAAAAAAGAACTATTAAGGTTCGGATTACAGTTTAAACTTAGTACTTTGTTTTCGGAGTATAGTTTAAAATAACAAGTGAACATGTGAGTGGGGAAACATTGTTCTTTTATACTCAAACAATTGTGAGTTTTTTGTATGTTAGCTGGACACGTGAGTGGGGAAATATTGTTCTTTTATACTCAAACAATTGTGAGTTTTTTGTATGTTAGCTGGACAGGTGAGTGGGGAACATTGTTCTTTTATACTCAAACAATTGTGAGTTTATTGTATGTTAGCTGGACATGTAAGTGTGGAAATATTGTTCTTTTATACGCAAACAATTGTGAGTTTTTTGTATGTTAGCTGGACATGTAAGTGGGGAAATATTGTTCTTTTATACTCAAACAATTGTGAGTTTTTTTGTATGTTAGCTGGACATGTGAGTGGGGAAACATTGTTCATTTATACTCAAACAATTGTGAGTTTTTTGTATGTTAGCTGGACATGTAAGTGGGGAAATATTGTTCTTTTATACTCAAACAATTGTGAGTTTTTTGTATGTTAGCTGGACATGTGAGTGGGGAAACATTGTTCTTTATACTCAAACAATTGTGAGTTTTTTGTATGTTAGCTGGACATGTAAGAGGGGAACATTGTTCTTTTATACTCAAACAATTGTGAGTTTTTTGTATGTTAGCTGGACATGTAAGTGGGGAAACATTGTTCTTTTATACTCAAACAATTGTGAGTTTTTTGTATGTTAGCTGGACATGTAAGTGGGGAAACATTACTCTTTTGTTGCCTTGTTTTATATTTTGTTACTAGCGAATAACAGCATTAAATCATACACGAATATCTAAAGTAGCAATAAATAAACAATAAGCATAATATCAGATAAGACACCAAGAACTGAGTTCCATGGTTACAAAGCAGTTACCATGGTTATTTAACCGTTTTTTTTATAAATAGACAACCAAACTACAATATTACGACAAAGACATACGATAACAATGTAATGGCATCAGTGATCTAGTATTACTGTATGTTGGAGAAATGCATTTTTTTTAAGGAATCGTATCATAATTTTTCTTGACAGCACTAAGAAAACGAGTGAAGTGACCCAGAAAAAGGAGATTCTGCGTATAACTAAAGATATCACGGAAAATGCTTGTTTATCTTTGAAAAATTACATGGCAGAAATTGTAGAGAAAAACAGCGCTCTCAGGAGAAGACTGACCGAACTTTTGAACAAAAACATTACTCTCCAGGAGAAAAAAGCGAAACTTGACGAGAAATACAAACAGTTGACTATAGAGCATCAGTACCGAGAGGATTTGAAAGAAATGGGGCTTTGGTCATGTCGTTTAAAATAAAACTTGACGGCAAATTTGAGTTTGGTAAAGGACTGTTCGGTAAAAATTGGATTTCATCTATTTTAAATTTTGGCGGAAGAGATAAATTTTGACAATAAACATATAGATTTGTATATGTATCCTCGAATTTTTTTATTACAGCATGCAGTGAGAGTTTTTTTCTTTCTAAGTTTAATGGTTTGCTGATAAGTTCTCGTATTTGGTATATTCAACTCCAACGGCACCTTATGCGACACGTGGGCCAAAATTTGAGGTCAGAGCTTAGACCCCTAAAGTTCAGGCATAGCCATCCCTAATTCAGTGCCAGAAGGTGGACAACCAGTCAGGCTACTCTTAATCGAATAGCGGGACTGACTGTTACAATCATGAGGCTCCTACAGTTCAAAAAAGCGTAGCGTGTTCAGTAACATATTACACCTCGAACCTTGGACCTCTGATTCACAGCCCTGCACGCTAATCGCTATGCCATTGCTGGCCTTTAATTAATTCTGTAAGAATGGGAAAATACTAGTATACATACTTAATAAACTGGCCGCAAGAATGAAATGCTAAATTACTTGGTATTTCAAAAGTCATAACACCAGACTACGATAACGTCTTTTAACTAATCGTTTGGAGTAGGTATAGTTTCAAATAATGCATTAGATAGTGTCAACTGCATAAAATAATAATTATAAATGGGTTGCCATAGAAATAAACAATAACAGAACAAGTACCATTCGTTTTTGTTATCAAGAACAGCCAATGATCCGGTATCGATTTCAGTGATCTACGTAAAACTAAGAATATGTACGTTGGAATATGAACTACATCCTTATGATGTTGTAAATAATTATCTGTAGGCTTGTTGTATGACGTAAAAGTTTCTACAAGCTAGAAATAAGTTACTATGAAACAAAAACAAAACAACAAGAAAAGAAAAACAATGATTTAAAAAAAAGTGCCCTGTTCAAGAGTGATATACATTGTGCATATGCTAACAAAATATAATCAATATTATTTGTTACCTTAACTTAAACAAGAAAAAAGAGGGAATCCTCAATAGCCGCGGCACTTGACACTCTTTTAGGCAGGATTAGAGTAAATTAATCTATGAGTTTTTTTTGTTTTTTTTTTTTACTTTTTATTAGCTACTAGTGTCAAAGCCCGTCAGAAGTAACGGAAAACCACTGGATACCCAAACTATTCCGTATAAAACTAGCAATACACAAAAGAAATAAATAAAAGATATATAAAATCTCCTTTCCCAGAAACATGCTACATATTGTTCCTGCATACACTACATATAACTGAGCAAACATGCTACATGTTGTTGCCTTTGAATAAAATATTAAAACATACGATGGCCATGTGGTTGCATACACACCTGTTCTTTTTCTGAGGAAAAGTCGTCCTCTTACCTACAAATAATTGGTACCTTCAGTCTGTCTTAAAAAAAAAAGGCTTTTTTTTGTAATAATTCCCAAGCCTAGATTTGCGCTAATTTTTGACTTATTTTTCAGAGGAGTCTTTCCGACTTTCATATTCGGATACTACCTTGCTTGACGTCACAATGATGTGGATGATGTGGTGTCACACATATAACGCCATGCCTGATCTGCTCCTGGGAACTCCCTCCTTGACAAGCTTTCATATAGCAGAAAAAGTGCCGAACTTAAGGAGCTATTTTCGCCTATGTTAGTGATTAAATTCAACAAAAATAGAAACGGGCAATCAAAAGACAAAGTATTATGGGAGAAAAAGTGGAATTGGACTCACGAAATTCTGAGAAATCGAGCGTGACCGACTGAGTGACCGACCGACACTTGGCTTTTATATATATGCTGATATTTTTGTGTGCCAGCAATACCAAGTTGAATCAGAGAAGCAAGTCTTTTAAATAGCTCAAACTTGAAAGGCCAGTTGAAGACCAGAGTTCATTCATTACTTTGAGGAAAGCAACGAAAAATAGCTTACAGTTGGGTGTTTTGTAGCAAAGGTGAAATCTTTTTCATATGATTTATACTGCGAATCTTACAGTTCAACTTTTATTATAAATAGATTTATGGAACGTTTTGGTGAAATGTAGTCATTACAGAAATCAATGGTACAACAAATGTTGTACCCCTAAGGTACAAAGACAACACGTATCCTACAGAATTTCCAATACACCCAAGAGAAAAATGATCCAAATGTTAATAAATTAAGCATTGTGGAAACGATGGCTAAAATGAGATTGAAATGGACACAATGCGTCAGGTTTCATTATTACTGCAACTTTTTGGAGGTTCAACCTATAATTATTGAACTATATATGAGTAATTGCACTCATATGACACTCAGGAAGAACAAGGTACAATATTTACTTTTCACAAATATTCTTAATATGTTTAACTATTTACAATTCATTGTTGAAAAACATGTTAAAATTACTACTTTTGTCTTCACTTCTCTGTAACTTTATATTTCCTATTTCATTTTTGTTTTCTTTACAGTAACGGAAGTGTATATTTATACTAGAAGGGTGTGAAGAAAGTTTCACAGTTCAGAGTGTCACACCTCACAAACAGTATGCCATAGGTTTGTTTGTTTGTTAAGTTTCGGGCAAAGCTACTCGAGGGTTACCTGAGCTAGATGTCTCTAATTTTGAGATGATAGACTAGAAGGAAGGCAGCTGGTAAACATCGCCCACAGCCAATTCTTGGACTACTTTTTATCAACGAATAGTGATATTGACTATCACACTATAATGCTCCAACGACTGAAAGGATCAGCATATTTGATAAGGAGTTTCGATCCCACCACCCTTAGATGTGGAGTCGAGCGCCTTAATCATCAGGATATATGGCATAGCAAGGTGAAATTGCACAGGAGTGTTAAAGGCATCATGCGGATGTGGATACCACAGTTGTCACATCTTGCCGACTGGGACACCATTGTGATTTCTTTCACATATATTCCATGGGCATAAATGGGCCTGTCGATCACAGTACAACCAACAAATGAGTAAGTGAAATGTTATAACGTCAAATGAAGCAATGCTGAGGCATCTCTCATGGAATACCGTAGGGTGTGTACATCTGCAGAAGGCCTTGTTCCAGTATTCTGTACGCAAGTGCATAAACAAAATTGAGGAGACAGGTTGTGGTAAGCCACGTACAGGCAGACCAACGCCTATTGAAACTTTCACTGAGGTCAGCCATGCCGTAGCAGAACAAGCCAACATAAGCGCACATAGGTGCAACAGTACATGTTATGTTACCTAATGTCTGGTTTTGCCCATTCAAATTGTTTGTAAGGCTAGTTAGTCAATTGTTTGAATGTTTTTGCACAAGCTGTATCATATTCAAGCACTGACGGAGACGGATTTAACCCGACATGTTGATTTTGCATTGCAGTTCTTTACAAAGTTCCCAGTTTATGACCAATGGTCTAAGAATATCTTATGGACTGATAGAGCACACTTTACCTTTTCTGGAAGTGTCAACAAATACAACTGTATTATCTGGTCGGAACCTAGTTCACATGTTTCTTACACTCCATGATGCTAAAATGGAAGTGTGGTTAGTTTCACGGTTGACTTTATTTTTACACCATACTTTTTCGAAGAACCATCAACATATGCACTACAAACCTGCACAGAACCAAGCAATGCTCATAACCAACATGATCCTCAGCAACAAAATATGATAGACACAATGGTTTTCATGAAGGATGATGGTCCTCTGCATATTGGTAACCAGGTGAAACACGTCTTGTGGGAGTATTTTTATTTTCAGGACAGAATCATTTCACGTCACTTTCCTTGTGAATGGCCACTTCATCTACCATACTTACCACCAGCTTACTTCTGGTTGTGATGGCACCTAAAGTTCTCACACAATTCCAGACCTCATGGATGAAATTGTCTGGAAAGTGGCTAGAATACCAGATGAGATGTGCCTTGTTACCGTAATGTCCATCAATTGTCTGGGAGGTGGTCAGAATACCAGATGAAAACAAAGTTTATTTCAATAGGCAAAACTTTTCTTCGGTGTTTCAAGGATTTTAGTTGTTTTCAAACACGAAAACTTCAAAAATACAACTTTAATAAAACTTGAAAGATGCAGTAGATAAATATTTATATTTTGGTTAAAGGACGGGTGATTTATATAAATCATATCCATTGCTTGCTTATATTTTCTGCTAATGTATCCTATTACATTGCAAAGCTCTGTGGATACCTGCTACACTGCTTTTAAGTCTTTCCACTCGGCATTATACTAGGTTAGTGAAGATCATGTTTCAGTTCACTCCTCTGGGTTAAGCTGAGTTCGTAGTGTTCGTGTTACAGCCCATTCCTTTGGGTTCATCTAAGTTCCTGGAGTAAATGTTTCATCCCATTCTTTTGAATTAGACTGGGTTCGTGCAGTTCATGTTTCAACCACTACTATGCGTTAAATTGAATTCGTGGAATACATGTCTTAACTCGCTCCTCAGCGTTAGACTAGGTTTGTGGAGTTCATGTTTCAGCCCACTCCTCTGGTTAGACTGAGTTCGTGGTGTGTGTGTGCGTGTCAGCCTTTGAGTTAAGCTGAGTTTCTGGAGTAAATGTTTCATCCCGCTATTCTGGATGAGACTGGGTTCGTGAAAATCATGTTTCTCCCAACTCCTCTGGAGTAGATTGAGTCCGTGGAGTATATGTGAAAGCCCACTCCGCTGGGTTAGACTGAATTCGTTCGTGGAGTACAGCCCACTCCTCTGGGGTAGATTGAGTTTGTGAAGCACACATTTCAACACATTCTCCGGGTTTGGACAAGGTTCACCGCATGATATCTTTGTTGAGTAACAATATGACAGGTCAAAAAAGAAGATTTTAAAGGATTGGGTTAATTTCACGTGAATGGTGTTGTTATTGTTTGAACGTTGCATTTTAATACCAATGTAAGTTAATCGAATATAGAACTTAATCCAGTAGTCGACTGGTTACGCGATCAGTATTAAAAACTTATCGTCTATCAAGTTGTGTTAAGTTAATGACG